GTGTATAATATATATCATGATATCGGCATAAGTGTAGAGTAAACAAGTCACCGAATATATACGCCCACAGCCACACTAACTACAGGGTATGATTAGTTTACAAAATACGTGTCAGATTTGTTGTCACATGAGCAATAGCTTCTGACAGGAATAGGCATGAGAACAGAGTCCTTTGATTAAAATAGACACGCAATAAATACTAAATTGAATAGAAATTTAATTATATACATATATATTGATGTTATATATGTTCTTTTTAATTAAAAAAAAAAAAGTAATTAAGCTATACTATAGTCGATAGAGAATGAGAGACAGACGTCAGACTTTATTTAAAAATTCAGTTAGCAATCGATTATATGAAAATGGAAAATTGATAAACTGTCAGTTGATGTAAGCCATATTTGATGATGATACATATGTATATTTTACCTGCTTATTTATAATCTATGTGTGGCATATGCCAAGTGTTCATTCTCAAATCTTATTGAATATTTGAGGTAAACTATGAATCGCATGCGAGTGCGCTAAATAATTGAATATTGCTTTACAGCGGGTTCAATGACAAAGCTAAATGGTGTAAATATTTACACCTATGCATGTTCGGGCTATTTAATATCTATCCGTAAGCCACAAACACAATTTACTTAAATCTCTTGTTTATAGAAGAAATGTTGAATGCTCTACAGCTTTGATGTTTTTCTGTACATCACTGCAGTACAATTATTTGCTGATCCAAAAAAATTGATTGGTTTTACTCCTCTAATATGATAAATCATAGAGCAAAATACACATAATATATCAATCCACTTATACATATACATGCATACATATATAATAATATACCTCTTTTATAATACGTGAGCTTCGAACCTCAAACTTTATTATGCCATTTTATCAACTCACCATGTATAATGAAAACGCAGCTAGGCAAACTACAATACTTTATACTAACTTCGTTTAGAGAAATCAAGTAGATTTTTGTTGGTACTCTACCTTAAAATTTGATCTCAAGGTCGAATACTTGCTTAGCGACCTCACATGGTGACTAGATCTTCCAATTGCATTAAATTAGGAAGTCTATATGTATTTTGTATTCATGCGAAACTTTTGTGTATAATATATATACAAAAATTTTTGGCGATAACGCCTTACAAAGCTGATAATATATGCCATTGTGTTCCAATTTACTTATCAAGCAAGCATTTCCACATATGCTTTTATATACATAAAGGTGTTTAGGAAAATTGATACGAGTGGCTGGTTTGTACTTTCATTGACGCTAATAAAGGGAGAATCGCGACAATTGGGCATGTAAACAAACGAATTGGCAGTGTATTTGCGACAATTGATGGCAATTATCTAGACATTTTAGTTCTCGACTTACCGTACAAAGTATGTGCAGAGCATAGGCGAATACTTTGTAGCCCGATGTGGATGCCATACTGCTGCTATATCCACAAATGATTCAAATTCCTGTGTGGAGCAATACAAATCCACTTGCGCAGTGCTAACACAGAAAGAAACTTGTTTTCCTTTTTTTTTTGTGTTCGTTTTGACTAGAGCCCACTCGATCTCGTTCTCACTTTATTACTCTCTCTCTGGCTCTCACAATCGCTCTCACGCTACCTTGCTGATGATTCGTATACTTTTATGAGATCATGGATCAAACTTTAGAGTGTCAGCAATAACAAAAATGAATAATATCAAATATGTTCGCGACAATCAATGACACATGACGTTGTGACTATTTTTAATGAAATCACAAACTCGAACAGGCCTTATGTGCTATGCGGTGTTTTAGGCATTTTGCATAGGTGCGTCTATGTACAAGCGATTTTCTATGTATATTGTATGTATGCGGAACTATCAAGAATCGGGCGCCAACTTCTAGTGCGAACGGCCTGGCACAAATTCGATTCGCGTGCGTCGAATAACTGAGAGCTACCAAAGCGAACTGTTTGCCGGCCACCGATTATTTTCTTTCGTCAAGCTAATTTTGTACACACGCAAGCGTGGCGTCACAAATGATGTCAGGAGAGAGCAAGAGACTTTTAAAGTGAAATCGAAAAGCTTTGATGTACCTCATTGAAGCTTTTTGCCCGTCAAAGCTCAGCAATTGAAAAAAGCTTTGATTCCTACAACGCAGCTCATTATTTTATGTACACTTGTCATATTGTTTAAGCGATTCCCGTTTTATTTGATATCAATATAAATTCACGTATATAGTTATATACCACAACAACAGAGCTTAGTCCGAAAACTATGAAGAAAAATTTAAATGAAATATAAATAGTAGCTGGAGCAGAAACTAAGCATACCTTTAATAAATACACAAGTATTGAAGCTATATCCATCGAAAATATATTTTTCTCGCGTTACAAAAAGAATTTCCCAGCTTAATGATAGGCAAATCATAAGCATAGACATAAAGATCCAAGTGAACAGCACTGCTTTTATCTGAAAACCATACAATTAACAAATATTATGCATTTTTATTATTTTTTTCATATTTGGCACCTTCATTTTGTGGCAAACGAATAGCAACCCACAAAGCGAATTGAAGAACTCTGTAAAACCCTGCATTACGAGGATGGAATCCGCATATTCTGTAAAATATTATTATATACATATTCTTAATAAAGAACAGCACCTACACCTACCTGCATCATCTTTGAATAAATTAACATTTTTAACAATCAATTCATGTATGCAAATATATAATAAAAATATATTATGACACACGAAAGCCAAAAAGAGCAAAAACATTAATTCGCGACACATTGTAGCGGAAGTCAAATGTTTTCTGGAAAAAGGTTGACTCCAAGTAATACTCTAATTTTAGTAATTGAAGTATGTATATACATGTATGTATTAGAGAGCTTATAATCTAAATTATTATAATGTTCTCAATAATTGAATAACGTTAAGGAGCTCATTAAACATGTAATAACTAGATAATGAACTTGACATGAATTATTCAAAATACTTTTTATTTTTTTGTATATATGTATATCTTTATTTATAAGTTCAAAAAGTCAAGCATATTAACAATAAGGATGACCAGAAGACAAAAGACAATACGAACATTCTGAATTGTTTATATGTTGAATTGAAATTAATATTAAGATTGAGGGTGTAAAGAGAGAAAACTGGTCTTAAGCAGCTGTTTCCGCAGGATTTGTTTGGGCCTGAGGCACAGGAGAGCGCAGCACACGAAAGCAATGAAATGCAACAGAGCCGAACGCAAAGACCAGACAAGCTGCAAAGATGAGATACTTTCTCATAAAATACTTTCTTATAAAATTAGTGAATACTTACCAAATCCAACGATATTTATGTCGCTATCACTAACTGAATAAAACGGGCTATAGCATATATAAATAAAGTAGGCGCAACATGTAAGTGCTGCATGCACCAGAAGCCACCACTGCAGATAGTTAATGCTCTAAACCAGAAATCATGAATAAGTATATGTGTAATACATATGTATATGTATATATATCTCGACTTACGCTCTTATCGGTTAACATTATAAGTGGACTGGCAACTACTGATGGCAGATATAGTGTATATAGGGCATACGCGCTGTAACAGTCCTCGTGATATGGACCTTAACCAGATTGATATTATTATAAAATGCAATTATTCACCATTTTAAAGGTGTTACCTTTCCTGTTATCGTTGCAATCATCGAAGCAGCGCCGCATAAATGTTATAGCAACAATTAACATTATAGAATTGTAGAATAAAGAACATGTTAGAGCTGCCGCGCCTATATTTTTCCAACTCATGCACATTTTTAGCCGTTAACGTCCAAAAAGTAAATGCAGTATGAGAAAAAATACACATCGAAAGCTATCCGAGCAGTTGTCATATAAGAGTAGCACATTATAATAATTACCGAGTATTAGGCTAATGAATAATACTATTAGCTTAATATATCTGCCTCCATGACTTAATCCATTTGACTAAAGTTCCATATCTGCAGTTCATTCGCCTTCTCATTGTGACTATAAACAGTATTGAAAGCCTTTAAAAATAAAGAAAAATATAATTGCTGCGGTGCAGAAACCACAACATAATTATATAAATATTTCAATTAATATTAATATTTAAATCGCTTAATATATCTTTGCAAGACGTTCTTCAGATATCATCAAATCAAATTCATGAAATACAAGAAAACAATCTATTATTGTATATATAGATACCGACGATGTAAAAAGGACGATATCAGACAGTATAAAAATCTAGTGTGGCAATCATTCTAAATATAGTATTACTATTCATATCATCATTTGAATAAATGTTTGCTGCTCAATTATTAGCGATATGTCGAGGTGTATACTAAACTAATCTTTTATTCATATATAGCATACTCGTATCTTATATCATGTAAACATAAATGATACATGACCATAGACTAAACGGTACTCTAACCACATTTAATATGCCAACAAAAAATCAATTTGCTTTAAATAAATTTAAGCCTTGAAAGTAATCGATATTTCGCTTCAACATAAAAGTAACTGGTATGTGAACGTAGGTTTTTAAAAAGTTTATATATTACTTAGAATCTACAGCTGTGTGAAAACATCTACATATGGCATCAAAATGAATATTAATATATTAACAATAAATTCTCCCGCAGTATTTCCTTGAAATTGAAACATGCCTAAATATATGTACATACATATTTAAACGAGCACAACCCCCAAATAGTCTCTACCTGAATTGAATACACAATACGCTAATCGCACCGGCAAATATCTGTATTTATATGTGTGTCAATTGCTGGTTAAACAAAAATGCTAAAGAAACCGAAGGTCAAGCCTGTGGCTGCCATGTCAACGCCTGGGGACACAACAGAACCCACTGCCATTGCCACTGCCACTGCACTGCAGCGCGGGAATTATTTCGCATGGCGAGTTATTGTTATGGGTACTCACAACTCTCAGGGCTGCCATATAATTAGGAATGCAAACACGCATAACATGTGGTTCGTTTTACTTTTTATTATTATTTTGTATATGTATATAAATACGTCTTAAATGCTTGATTCATTCACGATGTTGTCATTCGAGTTTCGACTGCACTTTTACTTCAGAATTCATATTAATGTGGGTCAAATGTAAAAACTTTCAAGAGATTCCAATTTACAGATAAAATGATGAACAACTTTTAATGTATACATATATATTCCATATATTCATTTGGACACTTGTACACTGGTACAAATATAGCATAAGGCTTTAACACTACGTAGTATTCGTATGTATAAATTTATAAAAATCAACATTAAGATTCGCTCTTCGTTGCTTATTGTAACATAAATTGTTGTTGCTATCCATCAGCATTTTGTTTATTGTTACTTGTAGCTTTGTACGACTTTGGATTTTTTTTTTGTTTGTTTGTTTTTTACTGTTTTGTTAATTGGAGCAATTGGTTACGAAAGTAACATTTGGACAATATTTAAGCGCTTACACTAGTATATACTCAAGTTTTAGTTATAATTCATTTTTCTTGTTTAAACAAATAACTTAAATATTTTTGTAACCAAATGGTTTACTTCGAATATATTTCAAATATTTCACATTGATTTTGTTTTCTTTTAATCTGTGTGCGTTGTACGGCAAAACATATTATAGAGTTAATGAGAATGTATGTGTGAGAGTGTGTATGTGTATCGTATGTGTACGTTGTGTATTTAAATGCTCGATTTAGTAACCATTGCGGCGCTTGTAGTTGCGCACATTGTTTGCCAAGCAACAGGCGAAGATGAAGCCAACCAGCTGCAATGAAAATAAGAAATTCATTATTTACAATCGAAATTCAATTGATTCGAAAAAGATAACTCACCTCAACAACAATGAGACCCAGACCGACGTATTTGGCCTTCTCGGAGCTGCCAGACATAAAATCAACAAACTTAGCACGGCAACCACCATAAATGTTCAATGGATTGGCGCAAGAGCCTTCACAGCAGCTGGAAGGTAGTCCGCTGTTTAAGAAGTTCAATGAAACATAATCCTGAACACCATTGCTGCCGCAGCAATGAAGCTAAAAAGGACAAACAAAAGTCAAATATTACAAAAATGCATCTGGCTGGTTAATAATTAAATTAGGTATATACCGATTTCTGAATGGCATCGAAAACACCGCCCTCACGAGCTTCCGGCGAAGCCCAGGCCTTGTCAATCACTTCACCCATGGCAGTATCGAACTTCTCCTTGTTGGTGAACAAGAGTACAACAATTGTCAGCTGAAGAATGAGCAGAACCAACAGGCAGACGGCATAGCTCATCATCATGCACACAGATTCGCGAATGGCACCGCAGCAGCCCAGGAACGAGATGAACACTACAAGAGAGCCAAGGGTGATCAGCAGGATGGGCATCGCTGCCTGAGGTGGGAAGCCGGTCTGGCCATTGACCTCAATGGTGCCAACGCTCTGCAGTATGATCACCCCAAATACAATGCTCAAAATGCCAATAATCTGAAATATATTTTACGAATATTATATATTAATATATCTTGTTTAACAGAACTGCTCATTGGGTCATTAATTAATTTATTTATTTTTTCTTATTGTTAATTTTGTATGGTTTTACTCCAGCAGCATGTTTAACTAACTTTTGAGCAAGTATATTTATACATTATGAGTTAAGTTGATTTAACCTTATATAGAAGGTGCCGTAAATGGAACAATCAGCCTGCATTATAAAGCCAGCCATCGCGTGAGGTCAAAGCTACAGTTGATAGTTGCAGTTGCAGTCGAATTATACTGCGTCAATTATGTTTAATTGAAGGAGAGCCAGATGATTTGAGATGGTTTGAGTGTGCGAGCGAGAGAGCAACAATTAGCATGCCAAAGATAAATTATAAAAGTTCTTAATTACAACTGGGGCCGGCCACCCACCTCGGATGACCTTAGGGATAACTAGGGCCAGAAGTACGTGGCTAATGGCTATTAAAATTAGCAGGCGCAACACTGCTGACGTAATGCAAGCAACTAGTTGAATTAAAAACTATCTCATTAAATACAAAAGTAGCACATACATATACATATGTATGTATGTATAAGTGCACACTATATAAGCTGTAAATATTTGGGCAGGCGGCAATGCTTTGTTTGCTAAGAAAATCGCATTTAGCATACGCACAGGGCTACAAGGCTAAATGCTGCTGATTAGATAAGGCTCATCTTAAATTTAATACGTAATACATATAGACTTTCGAGATAGCTGTAAAAAGCAGCTAAAGTTCAAGATTGAAAACAATGTATGTAAATTCTCGGCTATTGTTATTCCGTTGAATCACTTGAATCGACGCCGATATCAAGCGCAGCAACAATTGTTTGCCAATTAATCGAATTTACCAGATTTTATTATGCACAGTTTTGCACGCTAACGTATGCATATATAGCTCTGACTGTCTCCCATACCCTGTAGTTTGGCAACTAAAGATATGTTGTTTATATATAAGTGATTGCTGCTGAAAAAGCGAAAAATGTTTTATTGAGACTATACAAGAGCCATACGAATTCCACTTATCTGTTTGCTTTCCTAACTTGCCCAATATGCTAAATAAATAAATAAAGCATAAATCTGGTTGTCGTATATGCACACCATAAATATAACAAATGAAAAGGAAACAAATAAAGAAATGAAATTTTATAGCGTGCAGCCAATTTCCTTAAGTGCGACTGAAGCACTTTTACTTGTTTTACTTGCCGATCTGTGGGCGTATTGTTTTTCTGGTTAATTTGTGAACTGAATGGAGGCTCAGAGCAGGTCTTGTCCAAATTTGTAGCATAATTGACCCAAATAGTGCCAACAAAAGCAACATTCTGCTATTCAAGCCGCGCTGAATGCTCCACTTTCTCAATAGAAAATAAAAAACAAAAGTCTAGCCTAATTAAAACATCATGAGCAATTAGCTCAACTGACAAATATATATATATATATATATTTGTATTTATATTTGTATATATGCATAACAGTCTCATCAGCTGCACAACGATTTCCTCATTTGAATCTTATGACGTCATGCCTCAAAAACTCAAATGCAAATTGAAGCGTACGTTTTTTACGGACAACCCTCAACAATATAATAAAATCCAACTATATAACTTTTAAAAATGTATGCTCAGGCACTCACACATAAAGACCAAGCTTTGTTTATTATGTCTTCTTTAGTCTACCACAAGAAGACCCAAACTCTGAGCTCATTTTTATTTTCTCGTGGCAACACTTCCTGAGAACAACCCCTATAAGCATATACTTGAAGTTATTTTGGGGCTCATCAGTTGCAATAAACAAATACTCCAGAAGAGAGAAATTCGAAGCTCTCAACGTAAGAGCCACACCCTTACTCTAATGGGCCGACCAAACGACGCCAAATTCTATTCTATTTATGTGTTTGAATGTCTCATCTATCCGCAAGTCAGTTTGTCGCCATTTCCAACTATTCACTTATCAGAGCCGAAACAACAAGTGAACAGCGAGATAAAGTCGTATACAAAACTTCTGCTGCCGCTTGTGCAACAGGACGTATGCGTGATACAAACCACACAAATAAAAAACAGAAATACACCAAAAAAGAAAACATGTTATATTTTGATTAGAAACGTATCGTAATTACACACTCCACAAGTATTTTTATAGTTCCCAAACACGATATACAGCAGCGAAACTCAAACTCGTAGAATTGCTAACGCTGCAAATAATGTGAAAACAATTTTGTATATATGCATGTATATATATTTATAATAAATGTATAATATTTTACATACATATACAAAATGAAACTCATTGTATTAAAACGTAAGAGATAAAGCAAACATTCATAATTTAAATAAAACGATATGAAACGATTTTTGGTTTTCTATATATAAAAGCTTAAAAACGTTTTATATGTAAGTGCATATACACACAACATTTATATACATCTATACCTCTATATAATATATGTATAAAACTCATTCAGGGTTGTCGTTAACTGGTTGCAGCTCGCATTCTAACTCGCATTCGATACTTAAAAGTCAGACGTGTAGAAAATACAAACAAATAATAAAAATGTATGCTTCGTGTACCTGAATCTGGGTAAAACACACACGACCCTATACTCAAAAGACTGCCTGTATGTGTGTATGTGTACCTACATATACATACGTGTACCTGTACCTGTGTACCTGTCTCTGTATCTCTGGTCTGTAGTTTCCCTTTTGTATTTAACCAGCGAATTGCACAATGTTTTGTTGCTTTCTCGAGCGTTGCGTTGTTTTTTCATCGTCATGTGCACTCTCACAAAGGCTCCTGTGACTTTGTCAAGCACTTTGTCATGCTTCAATATAGACTAACGATTCGTCATTAATACAATAATAACAAAGAAACAAATAGATTTACAAAAATTCTACTTTTGTTTATTATGATGTATTTTACTGCCAGCTCAGAGTGCTGAAACAAATGTATTTTGTGAGCTTATCGAAACGATTTGATCTCGCTTCGCATGCTACAATTCTATACAGTCACAATTCCTATAAAATAACAAGTATATTTAAGCTTCGGCTTGCTGCAAACTTCGTGTTTTTTTTTCGTATTTTTTCTTTCGTCTGGCCAAGCGACGCTCAAAGGCGGCTTTTTGTTGTGCCTGTTAATTTGCTTGCCTTAACTGTCAAGTATGTTATGTACAAAGATACACACACACACATATAATGATTCAGATATGTATCTGTGTATATATACCTTTATATATCTACTGGTAAGCAAACCGAGGTGAGTTTGCACGTGTAAATGTGAACTATGTAAATAACGCGTGCTTCTTCTTTCCACCAGTTGCTGGCTCATGCAACAAGTTTGTATTTTTGCTTTTATTTGTTGTATTCTTATTTCTTATTTTCTTTATGAACTTGTTAAATTTGTCGGCGAAAAGTTCATGTTGTATTTTTCTGGTTTATTTAGCTGATTCACATTTTGCAAGCTTTTAATAAAAAATTTGCTAACAGAATTGTATACATATGTATGTAAATGTGCGAGCGCTCATGTTAAAAAGTATTCGGACAGCTTGAAAATTTTCCAAGAATAATTATAGCAATAATTCTATTTTAAAACTTATTTAGTGTATTTCATCCTCGCTTCAAAATGTTCATAGACTCTAAACCACAACATTTTATTCATTTATTCCAGATGCATTGCTATAATTCAGTTAGCAATTTTGTTTTAAGGTGTGTGTTTCTCTTCAACTATTTATATGCATAAATATTTGCGCTAATTAATATTTCAAATGCGTAGCAATACCTACGACACATTGTATATAAGGTGTCACGTTGAGTCATCATACATCTGCTGATCAAACTAACACGTCTGTTTCTCAGTTATTACTGTCAATTACTGAGTGTACTTGTGTCGTTCATCTTATCAGAAAACGTTGCATTTCTCTGGAAACTGATTCACTTCACAACACAATATAATGACATCATTCGTTGCTTCTGAATTGTGGCAAATTCAATTAAAGCCTGAGCAGCAAATAAATATACAAATTGGGATTTATACAAACCTCAGCTGTATATAGTACAGCTGTGTACACATACATACATAGTAGCAAACGAAAATAAGCAAAATATATTAAATGTTGCTCATGAGCACAGAAATTGATTAAGCCGCCGCTCAGCAGCAGTCTCTACAGTTTGCAGCATCAGCTACACCCCAGATACCAGATACCACATACCAGATATAGCTATTGCTACATCTACTGCTACTGCTACAGATACAGACACATATTTATTCAAGTATGCGTGCCTGCGTGAGTGTGTCGGTCTTGGGAGGCTGTATACACATAATCATATATATGTATGTACATATATTATATAAACGATGATGTCATAGCCGCAAAACCAGCCATGCCAAAAACGAGGCTGGCTAAATAAAAACAGTCAAGAGTTTGCGAATAGTAGATACTTCGTAAATACATAACTAAATAAAGTATTATGCTTTATCGCCATAAACTAAAACATCTGCTACACAAAAGAAGAACTCTCATCAACTCCCAACTACAATCATTTTAACTATATATAAGAGTGATTGCTTTATAAAAGAATGAACCAGCCTTCTTGAATCAGTTTTAGACTAAAATACTTCGCTTGCATCAAGCCCTAATCTCAACGCTCTTAGTTTTAACATCTGTAGGGTATTTCAACAAAACAAACAAGCTTTGAGAGCACATAATCTGCTTGGGATTTACATTCCAAGACAATTTCGCTGCTTCAAATAGAATAAATGTATATTGCAAAGCTGGAAGTATTTGTGAAATTAATGTCTGTATAATTCTATATTCATATTCAGATATATGTATGTATGTATATATATAAGAAATTTACTTACCGACACAATGGTATTGAATATAAAGAGTATATATTTAACCATAGATGTTCCACAATCCATTTTGCTTAATTGTTGGTTTCCTGCAATACATTAGAGTTAATAAATTAGTAAATCAGTTGAGCAACAATTACATAAATATAAATAATCGCTTGACTAATTGGTAAATAAATGTTTATATGATTTGCTGAGTTTAAGGTTTTTGGCGTCGAGCAAGTTCAAATTATGTAAATGGATGTTGCTGTCAGGCGTTATGCAAGTCCAATAAGCATACGATTAACATGATTTGTACAGTTAATTAATTTTATTTTATCCCGTGAAAAGTTGATCCACTAAGATAAACTTGCGTTTTTATAGAAAGAGATAGAAAAAGATTGACTTAGCTAAAAAACTGATTTTTTAAAGTATTTTGTACTATATTCATTTTTTTTTCCGCGTTTAATAAGTTTAAAGGTTCATTTCGACTTGAAGTATTTTAATTTCAGTTAAATATACAATTTAATTATCTTTAATAAAATGCATTTGTCTCAGTCGTTTTCTGTTTTACTTCTTTTTTTAATGGTTACGCCTCTTCCTGCTTAATACTTTGCCGCTAAAAACCGGTTTGACCTTGGCGGAATAAAAAAAATAATGAGCAACAAGCGTACATATTTATTTAAAATTATGTTTTTAAAAATGGCATTTGAACTCGCATTAAGGTGCTTAAATTTTTTTTAAATATTTTTAAAATGCGTCACGGTTAGCAGCAGTTAACTTCCAAAATTAAGCACTGAACTTCACGCACTTGTTTACGTCGTAAATCGTTTAGATCGCAAATTGCGTACTTCTTCTTCTTTTATTTTATGTTGTCTTAGCAACGACACCAACAACAAGAAGGCTAGAAAATGTCTCAAGAGTTTATAGATACTAAAAACAAAAGGCTAAGTTCAGTGCACTTCCTGAGCAGCAACAACAACACATTGTCATTTAATTTTTATAAATATTTTCTTCTCTCTTCATGTTCCAATTTCTATTACGTCGAAGTGCGTCTTTGCTTTTTATTTCATGTTTCTTTTTTCAGCGTGCTTTTGCACTTTCCGTTTTCAACCACTTTCACATGAATGCGTTCTCGAGCAGCTGTCAATGCAGCATCTCACGTAGCACAAAGCAAGAACACTTCAAGCTCATTCATACATACATACATATGTATGCATGCATGTATGTATTATATAGAGAGAAAGATAGAGACGGAGATACACTTATCACTTATTCACACAATGCCGCTTAAACTTAATAAAATTACCTTTTCCGATTCAAATTATTTTTTTTTTATTTAAAGCAACACGCGCACGGAACGTCCGACTCGTTGAAGAACTGTTTTTAAATTGAACAGAGCACGACGAAAGGAATAACACAAAACTGGTTATCAGTGTGACCAGAGTAAGGAATTTATAAAATCAGCTTAGTCTTTGCGAAGTTTAGTATATTTTGTAACCTGAACAAAAAATTATTATAAATAAAATACTGCGTATTTGTAACGAATATTTAAATAATATGTTATTCGACTGTAGACTATTCGAATTTATTAAAAAAGATTAAAATAAAAACAAAATGAAACAAAAATATATTTTTGCTATGAAAAAAAAGCTACATTTTATTTCTTCAAATAAGCTGGTTTTTTATTCTCACTTTGAAATTACGAAATAACAATTGTTCTTACCGAAGCCTCTGGGCTGGAGCCCACGCAATATAGAATTGCAAATATTTTAACATTGTGCAGTACATGTGTAAATAGGAGATAATTTTTGCTATTGACACCGTCTCTTAGTAAGAGATCTAAAAATTTTGTCGTCTTTCGGTGTTGCGCACCTGATTTGCTAAGCAGCAGGCAAATATGAAGGCCACCAACTGTAAATTAACGATAAAATCAGTTTATGCAAAAAAAAAAAAAATAATCCACGTTATTATATAATTTTTCTACCTCAACTGCAGTTACACCCAGTCCAGCATATTTAATAATGTTGGCGTTTGTGTCCCAAAGCGAATCAACTGCCGATTTGCAGCCAGGCTTAAACAAAACTGAAGTCAGGCTACAAGTTCCGTTCGATGGTGAGTCACAGCAAGAGGCGGGATAGACAGTGCCGTAGTCAGAGAACTTATACAGTCCACAGCATTTTAGCTGGAATATTGGAAGAAATTTGTTAACAACAGTTATCTGATAATATCTTCGTTATTGCTCACAGATTTCTGCAGAGTATCAAGGAGGAGGCTATCAGTTTTCCTCTGGTTCCAAATCGTTTGAACCACCTGATCAAGAGATTGCCGAATTTGTACATGATTGATCCACACATAGACAATCAAGGCGATTTGGCACAAAAATAAGCCCAACATAATGATGGAGTACTAAAAGTATAAAGGATCATTGTTAGTGTATAACGTAATATAAATTTCAATAATTTCAACAATAGTTACCACTGTAAGTCCGCAAGCATTTTCGCGTATGGCACCGCAGCATCCAATAAACGAGACTAAAAAGATGACACAGCCCAATACGAGTATGATAATAGCCACACTATTTGCTGTAAATGTTTGGTCCAGACTCGAAAAATCTTTGATTTCCGAGACCATAAGCGAACCGAAGACGATAAGCAAAATACCGCATATCTAAAGTGAGAGAAAACAAATTGCATTCCGCGTGACTATAAAGTGCATTTCACTAATCTAGGGAAACTGTAACTACAATTGGATTAGTCATAACAAAAACATATTACTCATTGCTACCCCTGTACATATCTACCGCCTGTTTCGACACATCTGGCACAGCTCATTAGCAATAATTACGTTCAACAGCGGTATGTAAAGAAAAGTAATTTAAAAAAAAAATCACGACATTCCGAACTCAATTTATGATATGAGAGCGCTTTTTTAGATTAGATAAAACCGATATACATATAATTTTATTTTTTGTGAAAAGATCATGAGCTTTTAAACGCTTATTTGAGATAAGATTATCTGTATGAGTGTTTTTATTTTCCATAACATACAGTTGAGTTGAGCCAACGCTTACCACAAACAATATGTTGAATATGAATAGCACATATTTAACCAAAACTCCTCCACAGTCCATTTTAGTAAGAACAGAATTGTGTGATGAACGCGTTGACTACGGTCTTTACAACTTCAATTCGAGGCACAAACTGTTTTTTTTTCAGTAAGTAGTTCGGTAATAAAGCACCTCCATAGAACTTTTGTTATCTTCAATGCAGCGAACTTTCATATAATACATGCATAACATAAAGAAGCTTTGCATACTTTTGGGGTTTGCACAATAATGCTTGAAAAGCTTAATTAATGGAATATGAAAATATTCTTGAATAAGTTAGGAAACGTTAATTACATATGATTAATAAAAAATTAATTTAAATGCAAATAAATAAACGTGCTGTTATTTAAAAAAGCAATTTATTTTGTATTATTTTGAAATTAACTTTCATATACTGATAAATAGGAAAATAAATAAATATATGAATAATATACAAAAAAAAAAAAAAATTTATAAATAAGAATAAGTCAACAATTCGGTCTCTTTATTTTTATTCATTCGTAGCTCTTAACAGTAGCTTCAACAGATTATTTATAATGGGTACATCTTATCTAACGGCATTCTTATTGCGCATGCATTTGGCCAGCATGCCAGCAAGAATGAAAACAATCAGCTCGTATATGCAAATGCCAAGGCCAGACCACAACACCAGATCGTTATTATCGCTCCAGAATTCGGTGAATTTCTGGTTGCATCCCTTGCGGGTCTCATAAATGCTAGGGGAGCAACTCTGCTGGCGATTCGGATAGCCGCAGCAGCTGCCGGGCACAGGTTGATTGCTGTAGAGGTAGTTATTGTAGCTAGTGTTGCCACAGCAGTTGAATGTGAGCTCCAATGCACTCATTGGATATTTATTCACGGCTGTATTCTCCTTCCAAAGCGTATTCACCAGATTGCTCATATCGTTAAGGAAATCTTGGCCATTCACAGCTATCCAGCAGGTGAGCACCAATTGCAGCACAAATAGAATGAACATCATGGAAGCATACTACAAAAAAATGGATTAAATAAGTAAATATTTATATGTATTGCAGTCATAACGAGAGTTTACCGTTGCAGTTAGACAAGAGCTCTGACGCCAGACTCCACAGCAGCCAAAGAAAGAGATGATGAAGATCAGCGCACCCAAAACAGTCACACAGATTGGGATGGTGTTCGTATTAGATAGCGGCTCGACGTCGGTCAATTGACTGAAGTTCGATAGCATTATGGAGCCCAGCACAATTAGCAATATGCCGACCACCTAATAAGAAAAAGGAAAGAGGATTATTGGCAATGCTCTTCTATGCAACTCTTATAAATTGGATATGTTGGAAATCACTGGATTTATATTTATTTATTTTATAAACAATAATATAAAAGGACTTAGTGAGATATTATGACAGGATGATTAGTAATTTTTGCATCGTTATCATTGTCACAAATCTGACAAAATCCATCATTGATAACGACTAACAAACACATGTCCACCTCTCTACATTTATCATAATGAAAATCTCATTACATTTCAAGGGCTTGAGTCACTGGTAATGATAAAGCCTGTCGCATTATATATAAAAATATAGATAGATAAATAGTCATATACAAAAATAATTCCATGAGCTTTGTCGCATGAGCAACATTGGCTACTATATATTCATGTATATAATTATCTATATAGTATTTTTAGATTTGTTAACTGCGTAATACGCTACTTAGGCGGCAAGTATTTGTATTATTTTTTATGAGCAATGCAAATTATTCAAGATTAAAAATATATTAATTTCTTTTCTTGAATTTTTAATATTGTAATCCTATAAGTTTGCACATCAATAATAAATCTAACTAAATTAATTTATTGCATAGACTTGAATAAGTTTTAAATAATGCAATCAATTTGTTCTAGCTATTTATTATGGAAAATTTGATATTTATATTTTTATTTCTCATTAAAAAATTAAAATTCATCATTATTTTTAGAGAATTGAAGAAGTTGCCTTTATGTCAATTTAATAAATATTTTTAAAAGAATAGCTATAGATCCCACATAATTTTGTAATTCAAATAAGTTTCATATAATTAAGAATGTTATAAATAAGAATTTGCTTATTTGCATCTCAAATACATACGTATATTTCAAAAAATATATATTTTAAACTTGTTAATTTGTTTATGTATAATCAAAAGATTTGTTGTAGTTATTTATAAAATTTAATTATTTAGTGCACATTTCACAATATTATTCATATTCATTATGAAGAGTAGTAACTCACCAAAAACACAATATTTATTATGTAGAGTAAAATATTCAGTATTCCCGACATGCAGCCCATCTTGAAGCAGTTTTGTTCAACTTTTGATCAAACTATATTTTAAAATGTTGGAAAACTATGATTTGTTTTGAAATATTTTTCGCGCTTTGTGGACGCGTCGATTACTTTCGTTCGATTGAACTGGCCCACCTCTGTGCGGGCTATTATAAATGAAAATCGGAGCTTTGTCCATATCTAGATAGGTATCCTCTGTTTGTCTATATCTTATCAGCGAAGAGACAGAGATAACCAGTCAACGCAGCGTTGCTCTAGGTCTGCCAAAAAATGAAAAAGTAATGTTCAAAGTAAATATTTTGAGTACATTTCGGTATACATACATATATTCATTGATAAGCCATGAATCAGCTACAAGTTAGTATGATCTAATAAGCACCTAGAGACTATGTAGAGACTATACATATATATATGTATATATATATTGATAATAAGTTCTGCGAACTATGCTCAAAATTAGACACGAAATACAACTAAAAATTATTTATATGGGGAAAATTGATAAGATATTTCACCAGATCAGATAAAGCAAGTGCAGAAACTTTAACCAAATGTTGTTGAGCTACGAAATACCCTGAATGCCGTTCAATACATACAAATAGATTTAACTAAATGCAGAATAAACCGACTATAGATAGACAGACAACGTTAGATAGACTCTGGTCGTTGATCTCATCAGGAATGAAATTGATCCTCCTGCCTGTAATAAAGGGCTTAACCACACCACAATACTCTGAGTTGCCATTCCAGGGTATATAAATGACAACTGACAATAAGTTCACATTGATAATTACTACTAAGCTAACAAACTTATGGCTTTGATGAACATTCGTTGATGGGTGATGATGTAATGATGTAATATACGTAGTAGATGGACTAACAGCCGTTAGGGCTTAGCGTTTTTTCATGGCGCTGGCCAAGCAGCACGCAAATATGAAAACGCCGAGCTCAAAGAGGGATATGAACAAGCTGCTCCAGCTGATGATGTCAGCATTGGTGGTCCAGAAATCGTTGAACTTCTGATAGCAGCCAGGACGTGACTCGTAAATGGCCGCAGAGCAGCTCTTACTGCGATCCGTGTAGCCACAGCACGAGGCGGGCACATCACTGACATAATCCTTATAGCTAGTTCGGCCACAGCAATTGAACTAGAGTGAAGCAAAAAATTTGTAAGCATATTAAATGAAACTGTGTTGCTTTTAAGTACTCACAGATAGCTGAAGTGCGTCCATGGGATAGCCATTGGCATCATCATTCTCCAACCAGGCCTTATTCACCAACTCGCTTATTCTGTCAGCAAAACTGCTGCTCTCCACAAAGAGCCAGATGGACAGAGCCAATTGCAAGGCAAACAGAATGAACATGCAAACGGCGTACTAGAGAAGGGCAAACGGAGAAGTTAAATAAGTTTGGCTGGAACTCGAGTGAAACACTTACAATTGTGGTGCAGCAGGGATTCTCGCGAATGGTGCCGCAGCAGCCGAAGAAGGCCACGACGAATATGATGCAGCCAACGACTATGATGCAAATGGGTATGGTTCGGGCATTGAAAGTGTCGCTGAACGAATTGAAGGTTCCCATGCTATCCAGCATGATCGAGCCGACAACGATGAGCAAAATACCTGCAGCCTAGAAATATATGATATATTATGAAGTGATTATAATACTTGATAAATCAAATATCTTTAAATTCTTTCTCTCTTTTGTCAAATTCACCAATCTAAGTAGAATCCATATTCTTTTAGGTTTAATACATAGTTTGGCTTAGCTTCTTCTTATTCCACTTCTATGCAATCTTTTTCCTTCTTTACACTCACCACAAAGACGACATTGAGCAAGTACAGTAAATACTTGACCATCTGCGATAGACAATTCATTTTGATTAATTTTTTCTTTTAGTTTCCGTTAGTTTTCGATTAAGGTGCGCTCGTTGCGACTGTTCGGTTCGATTGAGCTCTATTGTTAAGATCTGGGCCTTAATAATGGAATTGTGGTGCTCCACGAGCCTAGAGTTGCTAGAAAAGCTTATCTAGACCATTATCTGGGCATTCACATAACATAAAGAGAGAATACTAGGCGGGCTTATCAATGGACCCTTATCGGATTGCACCTAACAATTGGTATGTCCCGGTTGTACTGTCAATTGTTTATTGCACGCTTCTATTATTTATGCCCAGATATTAACTAAGAGATAGACAGAAATAAAAGTTCATCTGGTCTGACTCACAGCTTATGCTTTTGCATTATCAGCGTAAAGAGCTTTGTGGTCCGGGCTATTGGGGGTCTCCATTGATAAACATCATGAGGCTGCTCGTGATTCATCTTCAAGTAGCTCGACTATATATATATTTTGCTATGAGTCAAAATCAGCTTATCGGCCACGGTTGCCCTGCTCGAAATCACTAAACTTTTCCCGTCGGGAGTCCCCTAGAAATTTTGGACATGCTTTATTGATTACCTAAGGTAAATGAAAGCGTAATCAGGCGTCGCACGATTTGAAACGGTTCGGCATAAGCCCCATTGAGTCTATTTGATTGCCTTGATTGTGAGCTAGTTAAAGTCACTAAGTATGCAACATTTCAAGTATTATAAATAAATAAATAAAGAGTTTTTGTTGCTTCATAATTAAATTATAACTTATTTAGATAACAGAATACTATGAATTGTTTACTATATACGAATAATGTTTCTAACTATTATCAAAAATATTATTAACTTATCGGCAATTTTTAAGAAACGTTTTTTCCTTAGTAAAGTAAGATATGACATTTATTTATTTATTTATTTTTAAACTTGAATTGACATAATATTTTAGGTTTTTTTCCACTTCCACTTGTACTTCTGCCCACTATATACACCTGCAATACCAAAGAGTTCAGTTCATATGAGTATAGGGAAATGTCCATTTAATTGGGCCAATCAATTATTTCTGTATTATTTTCATGTCTCTCTAAAATGTTTTTAAACTGTATTTATTAATATCGTCGGATCATTGGCCTATCAGACTATTCGCATGGCTTGTTGCTATATGACAAACGAAAATATCGCAACGGCTTTATAGGAAAGATAAGAGCCATAGAGTGTTCAATAGTCCGAGTGGTAAAGTTTTCTACTGAAATTTAATTAAGATTAGCCTATCTGGTGATCGATTCGATGATCTAGTCAACCTAGAACTTCCAGTGAAAACACAACCGCCTCAACTAATTTATATTTTTATTGCATTTTGTATAAATTAAAAGTAATTTTATGCATTCAATTTGTACAGACAGAATTAGCACAATTAACGAAAAAGTGCGGATATATTATTGTAAATCAATTCTAAAAGTTGTTTATGTTGAATTTTCTTTTTTTTCATTTAACAAATAAGTGCAAAGAAATTTGTAAAAAACAATTGAATGGCCAGCTGAATCATCAATTTATCAGTTAATAGATATATGTATATTCATATATATATATATATATATATATATATATATATATATGTGTGTGTATATATAAC